TGCGCGAAAGTGTCGCTGCGCGGAAGAGTCGTGCGCGCAAATGTCGCATGCGCAAGTGTCGTGCGCGAAAATGTCGGCGCGCAAGTGTCGGCGCGCAAATGTCACGCGCGCAAATGTCGTGCCACGGTGTCTGTCTGTGTGTCTGTCTGTCTGTGTGCCTGTCTGTCTGTAACAAAGAGGTTGGCACAAATGACCATTTTTATGGCACAAATGGCCATTTCTATGACACAAATGACCATTTCATGGGACAAATGATCATTTCTGTGGCACAAATGACGATTATTATGGCACACATGACCATTTTCATGGTACAAATGACCATTTCTACGGCACAAATGACGATTTTTATGGGACAAATGACCATTTCTGTGGCACAAAAGACAATTTCTGGAGCACAAATGACCATTTCTGTGGTACAAATCACCATTTCTGTGACACAAATGACCATTTTTATAACACAAATTACCATTTCTATGGTACAAATCACCATTTTTATGGTACAAATGACCATTTCTATGGTACAAATCACCATTTCTATGGCATAAATGACCATTTCTCTGGCACAAACGACCAGTTTTATGGCACAAATGACCAGTTCTGTGGCACAAACGACCATAGTTGTGCCACGAACGACCATTTCTATAGCACGAACGAGCATTTTTACGGCACAAAAAAGAAAAATTGTATGGTACAAATGATCACTGTTATGGCACAAATGACCATTTCTGTGGCACAACACACTAGTATGCTTGCCCAGAACTGTTTTTACTGTAAGGAATGACGTTGTGTTCACATGCATGGATGGAACAGCGGGAATTGATGTAAGGAACCTATTCACTTCTTTGAGCCTAAGTTCTCATTCTGAAGGATTATTGAAACCCGCACTGAATATGGCAAGACGAGCGTCACTGAACCTCAACTACTTGTCAGCAGAGTGGGAAGGTGATATTATCATATGTAAAACTCCTGTTCGCCAAGGATATATCGTACAGTGTTTAAATTATCAGCACCACACCATGGCTCGTGATGATATGCTAAAATAAACATAACAAAATATTTTTCCCTAGACTGAAAGGCTAGGGTCTAGAAACCGTAATTCACGTGTGTCTGTATGTCCGTCCGTCTGTCTGTCTGTCTGTCTGTAACAAAGGGGTTGGCACAAATAACCATTTTTATGGCACAAACGACCATTTCTGTGGTACAAATGACCATTTTTATAGCATAAATGACCACTTCTGTGGCACAAATGACCATTTTTATGGCAGAAATAACCATTTCTGTGGTAGAAATGACCATTTTTATGATACAAAGAGCCATTTCTGTGGCACAAACAACCATTTTTATGACGCAAATGACCATTTCTGTGGCACAAATGACCATTTTTATGGTACAAATGGTCATTTCTATGTGACAAACGACCATTTTTATGACACAAATGACCATTTCTGTGGCAGAAATGACCATTTTTATGGCTCAAATGACTATTTCGATGATGGAAACGACCATTGCTGTGGCTCAAACGACCATTTCTGCGGTACAAAATGACGATTTCTGTTGCAGAATTGACCATTTTCATGGTATAAAGTACCCTAGCCGTAGTGCAAATGACCGTTTTCATAGTACAAAGTGCCATAGTCACGTTACAAGTGACCATAGTAGTGGTGCAAATGACCATTTTCATTGTATAATGTACCACTTTGGTGTTACAGATAGGGGTGCAACAAATCTTGAATAGATTTGGGATTTGGCACCAAATCTTTGAGATTTGGACTTGGATTTGGATTTGGTTTCTGGATTTGGGTATGGTTCGGATTTAGTTCCTAGATGTGGATTTCATCTAGATTTGAATCTCATGATTGCTGCTATCGCTTTGTTTGGCTGAGATTTGGGATTCAGAATTGGTGATATGCTTGAAATGTGGGATTTGGATTTGGACTTGGATTTGGGTTTGGGTTTGGGTCTTAGATTTGGATTTGGATTTGGGATTTGGTTTCAATCCAACATGACTCCAACTTTGTAGTCTTGTTAAATTGAAACCAAATCTCAACCTCCAAATCCAAATCCCAAATCCAAATCCTACCCAAATCCCAACCTGCTATACACCAAATCTCAAATCCAAATCTAAGATCCAACTCCAAATCCCAAAACCCAAATCTATACCAAATCCAATCCATTTCATATTAATTTATAAGACTTGGGATTCTTTTCTTCCTTCTGGGACTTTTTTTTACAAAGCCTCGTCATATTTGGGTAATTTAAGACCAAACCCAAACCCAAATCCAAATCCCAGTCTAGAACAAAGCCAAATCTGTTTGTACCAAATCCAAAGGCTTTGGATTTGTTGCACCCCTAGGTACAGATGACCACTTATTTGACACAATTGGCCATTTACGTTAGAGAGATGACCGTTTCCGTGGCTCAATTCGCCATTTTCATGGCAGAATCAACCATTTCTATGGCATTGTTGATCATTCTTATGGCTCAAATGACCATGTCTGTGTCACAATTGGCCATGTCCGTATTAGAAATGGTCATTACTTTTGCATAAATCACTTTTTTTAGTCGTTATAATTAACAAAAGCAAAAACTTTATCATATGCATTAGCATCTTTCAATATTTTATGCGAACTATTTTGAATATATCTATAGTATGTAATATAGAACATGTTACAAATATTAATAATTTCTCCTAAACTCATCATTATACAGAATTCATTTTTATTTAAAAATATAAGGACATCTTTGTCATCATTCCGCCAGTCTAGGGCCAAGTGAATCGACATTGAATGTCGATGAACGTTACTTGTTTGTACCATAGAAATGGTTATTTGTGCCAACCCCTTTGTTACAGACAGACAGACACACAGACAGACAGACGGACATACAGACACACGTGAATCACGGTTTCTAGACCCTAGCCTTTCAGTCTAGGGAATTACATTTTCACGCACAAATCAGAGTTTTCGTGAAGATAGGTCTTTAAAGATGTTTCAAGGCCTTATTTGAAATGGCGCGAATGAGTTGATTTTTTTATCCGAAATAATGCATTCATATTGGAAAAGGGCAGCAAAGGCGTCTAGTTCGGCATTTACATTGAGATGAGGTCCAGAGATAGCTAGGACGAGTTCTTTAGAACGTAACTGGGTTTATTTCACCACTGACCATATGAAATAAGCGAGGAAAAAAAAACTGAAGACATGTTTGAAGTTAACTGCCTGATTTCATAAGACTGTGGGTGGAAATTAAAGTCTTTACAAAAAACGACCTTTAAAGGTGTTTTACAGTTTGTTTAAAGTTTTGCGAATGAGTTTTTGATACAATAGCTTTAGTGAACTGCATAACCGATATTTCTGACTCCAACTCCAACTCCAAAAAACTCCAATTTTTTTGGGGTAGTTTAGCGGCATCTTGATCATTCTCGTGCTTCGAATGGGTTATCACAAGATAAATTAGTGAACGAATGGAAGTTGTCTGGCTTTCATTCATATAGAACTTACTACTTTTTCTGCTGATTTACCAGTAATTACAGACGCAATGTCAAACAACGTTTTGACAAAAAAGGAACTTGAAAAATTGATAGAAGATCGAGATGAATCAGTGAAATTCGTCCAAGAGAAAGTAACATCAAAAACAAGTGAATTGTGGCAGTTTTATCATCATATTTTCGTGAAAGATCATCAACAACAATTTGTATCTTGTAATACATGTAAAACTTTATTACTTGTTACACCTACAAGTGGTACAAACACTCTAAAATCTCATCACCATTCATGTGTACAACGAAAAGATAAATCAATAGGTGCACATCAACAAACAGTTCATGATTTTTATTCTTCTTCAAAGCAAACAACAATTCCAAAACAATTAAAATTACGTGTTACACAAGCATGGACAGAATTTTATGCTACATATAGTCGGGCATTCAATCTGATAACAAGTGATGGTTTTCAGAATCTTGCAAATGTTTTATTTGATGCCGGTCGTTCAATGTATAAATCTTCAATTCAAATAAAAGATCTTCTTCCACATCCAACAACAGTAAGAATAATAAAGTATTGGAACAAATTATTCATATTAATTAATGTTATCTTTTTAGACTGGTCGAAATGTTAGTCGACTTTATGAAGAATATAAATTGCATTTGGTAAATATTTGCGAGCAACTGAAAAGTTATTGTTGAGTTGTCGATCAATGGACAGAAAGTTATACAGGTTAGATCGCTGAACGTTGTACCTGTTAATACTGAAGCTGGGAATGCTCTCACTGTTTTTTTACATTTGTTTAGGCATTAGCTACTGCAGTACTGCTATTAGATATGTTGATAATAATTTTCAATTGTTCAGTTTTATTCTTGACTGCTTCCCATACGATGCAGCCAGTCATTCTGCACCACATCTTCGAGAATTCATTATTAAAAAATTAGAAGAATTTAAATTACAACTAGATGCAACAAAATATGTCGTCTGTTACAATGAACCAAAAATGATCGCAACATTTCGTGATTGTTGTATTTGTATAAGATGTGCTAACCATTATTTAAACAAACAACTTCAGCATGCTTTTGAATCAGAACAAATATATGTTAATAAAAACGTAATTGAAAAGGTTGATTGTGACAGTGTTCAAAATCTTTTTAATCAAGTTTAAAAGGTTGTTTGTCATGTAAGACGTTCAAATCAACAAGAAAGTTTATCCAAGAAACGTGTCTCTTACAGTGAAACTCGATTTAATGGTGGTTTAATAATGATGGATAATTTTCTAGATCTTTTCTTTGAATTACGATCAGCATTAATTAATAGTAGTTTTATGGTGAATTATAACTTGATTGAGAAAGATCTGCTTAATGACGTTTGTAATTTTCTCGAGCCTTTTCGAGAAGTGGTTGAGGCTTTGAGTGATGATCAGCAGCCTACTCGTCATAGAGAAATAAATGTAAAGTAAAAGAAGATGATTCAAATGGTGTGGTTCAATTGAAAGTATTTTTAGATGAGAAAAATATCAATTTAAGTGTTTCCTAAGCTGTCCATAAACGCCATTTAAATTTTCTCTAATACATTTTTTTACCTTGATATACACTTTTATTTATAAAATTCTAGCGCGACGTTTGAATAATGCTTCGCCAGTAACAGATGAACATCGATTAGCAACGATTTTGCATCCAAAACTAAAACATTTTGATTGTTGTCGTTATGAAAAAGAAAAATCTATCGATATATTGAAATTAGAATTTAAAAAACATCAATCAATTATTTCTTTATCTTACACAAATTCATTAACTCCTACATATGGCAATTTGCAATCTTCTTCATCAGCATCTGCACCAGATACAGCAACAAAACCAAAGAATCTTTTAGTACAATGTTTTGATGCAAAAGTCAATGTTGTTGTAATGATGACAAAGTGATGGCATGGATGTATTATTATTCTGGAAAGAACATGAAAACTCATTTTCAATTTTATCATCAATCGCTAGATAGATATCCGTAATACCGGCATCTAATACTATTATTGAACGACTCTTCTCATCATCAAAAAATGTTGTAACTGAAAAGAGAACGCGTTTGGATGCTGCAAAGATAAACGAATTGTTGTTTTTACAGAAGAACTATCATACTTTAAAACAACTTATCAATAGCTATAGTCGGAAACGAACATTATCAATATCATCTACAACCACAGCATCTTCTGGAGAATCTGCTTGCACATTGGCTAAACAACAACGATTTGACATCGAAGAATGTGTAAATGATTTCGATAATACAGAAGTTTTTTTGGATTAGTTGATTTACTTTCTTTTTCTGCTATGTGGTAAGGCGAACACTACTGATGTTATAGTTCCCTCGACTGAAGGGATGGTCATATGAAAAAAATGCGTCCGTTGGTCTGTTGGTTTGTGTCAGAGTCAAAGGTTAAAGGTCAAAAACACATTCATTAATATTTGTGAAGGCCTTTTCTTCCTTACTGTAAGGACAACACCTACTGATGTTCGAGCCAATCATGGGGTTATCGAGGATGCTCTATCGATTCATGGGTATATGTAAGGGTCCCCATGCGTCCCTTCATTGAGATGTAGAAACTTGGGACCTCGATTGGTTGGTGAAAAGCGACCGACCAGATTTCACGAAGCCTTTTTTCTCTTACTGTGAGGGAGACACATAGACATGTTCGGGCCGATCATAGGGTTATCGAGGATGCTCTATCGATTCATGGGTATATGTAGGAGTCCCCGCATGGCCCTTCATTGAGATACTGAAGTCAGATTTTCAAAATTTTCAACTGAGTTTTTTGGTCCAGGGTGCAGTATTTTGAGAAAATGACGATACTTTATAAAGGTTGACGAGAGTAAATCGGGGTGGGGGAATCCGAATCTGAAGTCAGTTTCTCGAAATTTTGAGTTGAGTTTTTTGGGTCAAGGGAGAGGTTTTGTGTAAAAATAATCATATATCACAAAGGTTGATGGAAGTGAACGGAGGTCGGGGAATCGAAATCGGAACTCAGTTTTTCAATATTTTGAATTGCGTTTTTTGGGTCAAGGGAGAAGTTTCGCGAGAAAATGACGATGTATTACAAAGGTGTACGAAAGGAAGTCGAGGTCAGAAAATACAAATATGAAATCAGTTCTCGAAAACTCGAATAGTCATTGGTATGAAGAAATGGTATTTCTGTCTTTGAATTATTTGCCCAACGCTAAGAAGGAAGAGATAACCGGCCGGCGTGGAAAAGTCAATGGGCCGATCAACGCTATGTTGCAGCTGGTCGCAAGCCATTTTTGCAGAGCGGCCAGTATACGTGTTCTATCTGTGCTCGAACGAAAAGCATATGGTTAGCTCTATATGTGTAGAACGGAAGAAAGAGAAGCAGTGTCACTGATGTTATGTGACAGAACGATGAAAAAGATGACTTTCATGGGAATCAAATCCATACCTTCTGCTATCTGGGCATATGTCCTTAGCCAATTAGACTAGAAGGCGCATCTAAATCATCGTTTAGCGTTAGTGTTATCCATCACTACCGCTAACACATATGGTTTTGAGAAAAATGATTTGAAAAAAGGTACACTTAAAATTCGGAAAATGGTTTTGGCTATCTAGAATGCTTGATTGCTGTTTACTTTGGGTACAATTTTCACAGTATCTTGGGAGGTGTGAGTCAAAGTCTAGCCTAATGAGGCGAGTATTTCATTAAGTGGTTGTGTGATAAAACAACGTTGATACACTACTGGCATTCTGTTTGAGGTGAACAAAATCGAGTGAATCAGATACATATACAATGCTTTCTACGTTAAATAGTGTTTTTTTTGTACTCTTTGCTTAAGTGAAAAGACGCAGCATGAATATAACCTTGTAAGTGAAGTTGCAA